GATGAAATTAATCGAAATATTACCCGTACGACATTTCAATTGTCATGATAAGTCTGTTAACTTTTAAAAAATGAGTTATAGAGTAACGAACTGGATAACATTATGGTAAATTCAGTAATAACTTGAATAACTTTTAAAGTTAACTAAATGACAATTAAAAAACATTTGAGAATGATTCGTGACATCTCAAAAATATTTAAAGTTCAAGATAGCTAAGAACTGTTTGAGAAAGCACATTGACAATTGAGATATTTAACATATAGTTTACTCTACCACAATAACTAGTCGGATACGTAGAAGAAATATTTTATTGGGCTAATCATGTATATACACATGGTGGAACTGTCTAATCAAATCACGACACTTCAATTCCTAATAGTAGGTCTAACATGATTAAGAATTAAAACATGTAAATTTATAGGTTAAATGCATTGTGGTTACTAAATTTTTTTGAAATTTCATCCGGGTCATTGAACTTTAATTTGGTGCAATTAAGTCATTGAAATTTTAATTTCACTCAAAATTTAGTCACTCCATTGGCATCTATTAGTCGATCTAGCATTTGTCATAACTTAGAATTCATCTTAAAAGGTAACCTTGTAAAGATGAGTAACTCAACATCCTCTTTTTGTATTGATTTTGTTGAAAGGACGGGCAAAGCCAGGCTCTCGATGTGCCGAGCCACCCGACGCAGTTTTAATCCCCCTAGCCTACTTTCATTCAAGGAAATGAAGATGAAATGGAACCATGACAAACATTGAAGGCCAGGTCCAAGTTCTTAGTAATCCAAGTATCCAACACTAAAGAGGACACAAAAGTGATACACGTAAAAACAATTGGAACAAACTGAGTTTCATCATTACATCTGAAGCAGTAGATTCTTAGTACAAAACAAAAAAGCAGGGAATCAGCAACTTAGGAGTGGAGAATCTTACGAAAAAAAACATGGTCTTGACAGCTAAAATCTAGTTTATTATATTAACGAGTATTATGTACCAGTCATGGTTAACATTGATTGAAATGGAGCATCATAAGTGAAAACCAGAAGGCAAGGACTTGGAAATTGAATTCCCACGGAAACCGAATGCAGCGAAAGACGCAGCCTCCTGAATGAGCGACTAAAAGGTTACAACGCTATTTTAAATACAAGGATGCCTTCAAAAAAGGGTGATGAAAAAGAACACGCCATGATCTCCCTGGAAATAAACCAAGTCAACTGAGATAAACGCCCACGGTAGATAGGCTAGAACCTCCAAAGAAATGTGAGCGGAATCATCTTTGAGTTCCTCCAGGCAATGTGCACGGATTTTCCTTCTCAATTTGCTTATGATAGAATATCGCATCTCCACAAATCCTCTGTGAGAAACTGAATAGTGCTGTTACTAATGGAATTACAATGCTGGAGATTCAATCCTTCCAGTGTCCTTCCCAATTTTTTCAGAGACGGCATGCTCTTGTTTGATATCATCGAGCAGCCCGACAAGGAAAGAATCTGCAATTTTGTTTGCACTCCATAGGATAGAGCAAAAATACCAGAATCAGTGATTGAACACTTAGAAACGTCAATATCGTTGAGCAATGGGCAGCTCAGTGCCAGCGCCATTAAACTTGCATCGCTAAGATTTCTACAACCATCAAGATTTAGTGATTCAAGTGTTCCACCATGCAATTTAGAAAGGGCAAATGCTATTTCATCGGTCAAATTTAGGCACCCACTAAGATTAACCTTAGCCAATCCTGTCTGAAAGCTCTCAAAAAGAGGCAGAAGACAAGAATCAGTGATTCCACAAAGTCCACTGAGATCTAAATGACGTAGCTGGGGACATAGCTTCCCAATCATAGCCAAGCTAGTACTTCCAAATTCTGGGCAGCCTCGGATGGACAAGGATCGAAGAGATTCACAAGGGGATAGCATTGAAGATTCGGGAGACAGATCCTTAACTGCCATGCACTTATTCAGGGAAAGAGACTTTAACTTCGAATTACAGTTCGAAAGAGCATTTAAAATCCCAGTTTGGGTGATCTGGTTGCACTCTTCTAATTGCAAGCTTTCAAGAGAGTTGGCAGCTTCGGCGAGTGCTACAAGCCCAGTGTTGGACACAAAGCAGCACTTGCGAAGGCATATCTGTTTACAGCTTGGACAGCCCCTTCCGAGTGCTTCAAGGCTCAAATCCGTCATTCCCCTACATGAAGTGATCATTAAAGATGAAAGGCTGCTCAGACCTTTCGCATTACCCATTACCCAAAAGCCCTTCTGGCTCACATTTTGAAGCCCACTGAGGACAAGATTGGTAATTGCCTTTCCGCAGTGGCCTATTACAGCAGCCGAGAAATCTGTGATGTTTAGAGTCTGAAGTTTCACCTTTGTCAAGACTGCAGAAGCTAATGACAAGAGACTCGCAACACCCTGATCCCCAACAAATGGGCAGTCTTTGATAGTGACCGACTGAAGTTTAGTGCAATATTTTCCAATGGCTTTCAGACTCTCGTTCCCGATATTTGAACACGATTCAATTGTTAATGAAGATAGATTGGGACAGTTTTCTGCAATTGCAAGTACACCTTTGTTTGAAACTGAAGGACATTGGCAAAGATCTAGCTTCTTTAATGAATGGCACTCCGTTGCAATTTCAAAAAGACCTTCATCACCAATAGATGGAACATTCCACAATGAAAGAACCTTGAGCGACGGGCAACCACGAGCAATTGCAGACAACCCGACGCTAGAAACACTCTGCAGAGAATTACTTCCTCGAATTGAAAGCTTTCCTAGTCCACCCCGGCTGGCGGTACAAACTGCAATGGCAGCAAGCCTAACATCCGTTGCTTTCCTTCCCTCTACGCTCCTCGTGAGGTATCCATCACACTCCACTTCAAGATCCTGATCTTCAGAGCTCAGTTCTATATTATTGGGAACCTGATTATTTGAAATTGGATCTACCTTCGCTAGATTAAATTTTCCTCGCGGGGTCTTGCTCCGGTAAAACTCAGAGCTCCGGATGCTACTCAAAAGCATTAGCCAACGCTTGGAAACACAAGCAGAGGCACTCCTCTCTCGGCCTGGTAAGCGTCTGAGGATCTCAAATAAACATTCATCTGGGATAATTTCAATGGATGGTTTTTTAGCCTCAAATATACTGCTTTCAACAACAAATGATTCACTGATACGACGGCGCTTCCTCCGAGGGCAGTAAACATCCACACGGGAACAAAATGAACTCCGAGTATGGAAATCTAAAAAGGCAAAGAATTAACATCAGCTAACTTTGTCAACCTTATTCATCAACACAGTGGTTCAAGAACAATTTTCCTAAGTATTTTCTTAGATTTTATGTTTATTGCACCGAATCATGAAATCAGTTATACCAGTAAGTATCTTCCCTACAAGTAACTTTAAATCTATATATCCAAGGATCTTAAACAAGCAATTTTAAATACAGAAGGAGAAAATTTAAAATTAAGCTATTGCATACCAAATATTCAACCAAAATTGCACAACTTTATCTGTGTGAGACAGCTCAAAACTCAAAACAAGATGAAGTTCCAAACCAATCAAGAAAGGAAGTACATTTTAGCAAAATCGGTAGGAAAATTATTCAATTCCCAATACAAAATCCACGGCGAAAACCAGTATACTGATAACTGATAAAGGAAGAATAAATGATTAAAAAAAAAAAAAAAA